ACCACTGTTGTGGAAAAATTTGCATACCAACAGTTTTTGGAAGCAAGGACATGAAAGGTTAACCCACTCCCTATATTGCACATGGGATCCTTCTGGCTACCTCAGATTTCTAGCCAGAGGGCTGGGGAGGGAGGAAAGCTATTGGACACCAGAGGTTGTACCGAGTAAACTCCTCAAAAGTGGGTGTGCTTGTCCTGGTTTGTTGCTCCATAGCTCTGTAATAAAGTTATTTTACTGGAAGGGTAAATGTGGCATACATAGAATAATAAGACTAATGTACTGTATAATGGCAATGTGTATGTGTTCATTGTTGAGAAAAGGTGTATAAGTGGAAGTTTCCTTTGTAGGTTAAAAAGAAGCCAAGAAGGGGAGAAGGAAAAAGAACAGAACAAGTTAACTGGAAAAAAAAAATAGCTAGCAAGCTCAGTCCAAAGATAAGACGCTGGCCCCATTCAAGGACACTGCTACAGCTAAGACTTGGCTGACAACCAAGAAAAGGGGGGGAGGCTCCACCTAGAGGCTCCAATCAAAATTGGGCCATTGTGCGAGGCTCTGTACAAACACAGACCAGAAGAGCTTCCAGCCTAATTAGATAGATAACTATGCATGATATTTCAAGAAGTCTTATTGCTCCTCTAGTATTCTAGCTCCTATTGCATCATCTACTGTGTTCCATTTCTTCACTTTTGAAAGTTTTTATTTTCCATATACATTCGGCTCTGCACTATATTTTCTTTTTCTATCAAGGTAATAGACATGGTCTTATAAAATGCTATATATGTCCTTCATATCTACATATAATTGAGAGATTAACAGTATTGGGCATACTTTAATCTTAAACAGATTAAAGAATTCAAACCAATAGATTGTAAGTATATAAAACACACAAGGAAAAAGAGTTTTAAACATTTTTTTTCATGTACTGCCAAAGGGAACTTTTACAAATTTGTAAATTCTACTCAACATTGAATAAACAAACAAGAGACAGCTGTTAAAATTCTTCTTTTTCCCCCTAAAATGCTCTTTAGAGCTAGAAGTTGGAAGTCATACATTATTTAAATAAGACAGAATCGCAATGAAGCAAACTCATTTTAGAGAGCTAGGAGAGAATTTCTTCTTGGTATGTACTTTAGATCTCTGAAATAAATACTGATATGATTGTAGAAATATTGCTATATGAGAATTTATTCAATTTAAAGCCAGGTTCTATTCTGAAAAGTCACTCTAAAAATAGTATCATGGAGTTCCCAGGTTTATTGTTCTCTGTAGGATTTTTATACCACATTTGCTTAGTTTACAAGTAAAAAGACGGAACTCTTTCCTACATATTAGTCCTTAAAATGTATCTTGAGGCCTGAAACACTAACTTTTGGCTAGTGCAGGGGTCGACAACGTTCAGCACGCGGCTTGCCAGGGTAAGCACCCTGGCGGGCCGGGCCAGTTTTATTTACCTGCTGACGTGGCAGGTTCGGCCGATCGTGGCTCCCACTGGCCGCGGTTTGCCGTCCCGGGCCAATGGGGGCAGCAAGAAGCCGCGGCCAGCACATCGCTCGCCCGCGCCGCTTCTCGCCGCCCCCATTGGCCCGGGCCGGCGAACCGCGGCCAGTGGGAGCCGCGATCGGCCGAACCTGCCGCGTCAGCAGGTAAATAAAACTGGCCCGGCCCGCCAGGGTGTTTACCCTGGCGAGCCGCGTGCCAACGTTGCCGACCCCTGGGCTAGTGAATCATCACCAGTAATAACATTTGGTGGGCCAAACTGTATTATATCCATTAAATGGCATGGTTTTGATTAATGTTTCTGCAGTAGATGCATGAGCAGAATGCATTGTAGCTCACTATCTTATAACTGTGGACTCTGCAAAAATTAATGCTTACTGTCTAAGGTAGCAAAAACTTGATTTTTGTCTCTCAGTGACACAAGGTGGAGCTCTGTTGTGTGAGGAGATGCCATTTTCACATAGCAAGTTTTCTGATCATAAAACTAACATCTACAGCGCGGGCCATTTTTGTCCCTGATTTGCATCCAGCATTGATCAGAGCATGACCAGCCTCATCTGTCAGGGTCACGATTTACAATTTAATAGTTGCTTTCTTATATATCCAGAGCACGCCCAATATTAAACTTCATCACTGTTTGTCTAGTAAATGCATTTTTTAAAAAATCTGCTGTTAAATCACAGGCAACATTTACCAGGTTATATTTGCATTTGTGTAAACCAGCTCTTATGTGGATATTTTAAAATATATCTATATTCACTTAATCAAAAATATAAATTATAAAAATGTAAAAGAAGGGCACCAAAGAGTAACATTAAAAATAACCAAGTTTAAACAAAAACTCCTACTTGGTCTAATCTTCTGCTTAGGTTTACTCATAAAAGACTGACTATTAGTTCAGATAAGAATACAGTTACTGAAGACTCATTGTCCACTGACTCCCTGGAGCCAGATTCACCATCTCACTCTGGCTGCCTTGCACTGCTCTGATGATGGAACACAGCTGTAATAAACTTGGCTTCACTGGTCAGTTAAATTGGGTTTATGGCAATTTTGTGTCACCAGAGCAGTACGAAGCAGACAACATAAAACTGCGAATCCAGACTCTAAAGTCTTTCGTGGACTATGTCTTCAGTATTATACTTTTAAGCCAAATAAGAATACTATTCTCTCTGTCATTCTAACCATTGTAATCAGCAGCTCAAGTTTTAAAAACATCATTCACCTCCCTCGTACTCAGGAATGTGTTCTGTGAGTGAAGAGATGTTTTATTTAGAGTTTCTTTTTCACGTAGGAAAATCGAAAATTCTGCTTCAGAAGGAACTCTGAAAAAACTTTTAATTGATTACATCAAAGACTCATGGCTGTGATAAATTAATTTGGGTTTTCTATGCATTTCATACAGATTAAAAAACATATAATCCAATCCCGTGTTTGCAATATAGATTATATGGATTCTTGAGCCATACAGAAGGGTGTATATTGTCTGAGATTCATTCCTTTGAAATGCAATTAAATGTTTGAAACTCCAGACAGTTGAATAAACCAGCTTCCCTCACCAATTTAATTATCCATGCCCAGTTTGTCTCTACATAGCGGTGAGTTATGCAGCACAGTGCCAATTAAAAATTGTCCTTTTGATCGCCAATAAACATTAAAGGCTCAATTATGTACATCTCTCTGAGGCTGGGTGGAGGAGCATTATGTAGTATCTGACCGGTGATGGCTGGTGGCACATGATGCCTAAGCAGTACAGAGGGATGCCTGGGGGAGTGCACACAACAATGGTATTGCTAAACATGTTTAAAGGGTATAGCATGCACTACCTCCAGTATCAGCTTCCAAGTGGTAGTTTGTGTACAGGGAAGATAGTGCTGACCTAGTCCCAGCCTTATCTCTTCCGGAATGTATGGTTTTGATGGCATCACCAAATAGCCCTGTCTTCCACTCTGGAGTCCAGTTCCGCATTGCTTCCTGAAAGATGCCAAATGCCTTTAAATCCCATTGACTTCAAGGGCAGGGCATTCAGCTCCTCTCAGAGACATTAAGAACCTTGCATGATCACTACCAGGGAAAGCAAGCAGCTTCATTAAGGCTTCTTCCCATGATATTGTACTGGGAAGGGAAGAGAAACTGATCCAGATCTTCAGCCCTCGTTAAATCTCATTTGTGCTGCTGGAATCCCATAATGGCATAGAGTAAGCATAGTTGGCTTTATGCCACCCAGCCTTTCTTCCCTCTACAGAAGGGTTTTCCAGAGTGGGCCAGAGGCAAAGAGATGGTGATCTAAGGATGAAAGATTGGGCTCTTAGCTCACTGCAGTTCTGGGCCAGTAGAGTGGTCGCTGGGGATCCCGTGGCCGCACTTATTTGCACTAGGGTTGCCTCCCTTCAAGCATGAGTTCAGCACAGCTGATGATCCAGCAGATAGAGTTCCTGTATCCCTCCCCCACTAGTGCCTCTTACAGGTGTGGCTATAATTTGCACATTATGGATATGAGACTGTGTTTTCAAGCAAAAATGAGTGTGACGACCTCCTTCTAGTTCCTATTTGTGAACACCTCAACCCCATATAATTTAGCATGTTTTCAGCACCAATAACAGTCTCAAATCAAGAACGATCTGAAGGCTGGAATAGGAAGAATCTTGCAGCAGCTCAGGATAGAGGAGCATCGGCAGAGCTGTGTGAAAGAGCTTGCACAGTATCTGCTAACACTGTGCCAGAGAAGTATCACTTTCCCTGGTATTAGAACCAGGCATTTCGAAGAAAACACAGGCTGTAATTTACAATTCTCAGCATCTGACTTGCCCTTTCTATAGTATGAGAGTTGGATTACTGGATTTCCTGTGAGTCCTAGTTTGGTGATAGAAAAAAAAATTGCAGATCGACTATTTTATTTTTGGTTGGCCTCTGGTGAGCAAAAGTGAAAGTGAAAACCAGGTCCCAAACTATTTGTGTTGAACTTTCCAGTTGCGCAACAAACTCAGGCTAGTCATAGAGCAGTGAGGCTACATGACAGTTTGTCTGAATTCATCTAATTATTGGTCCTGTCATTAATAGGATATGTCAAGTTATCATCTCAAAGGGAAATAATGCAAGTACATGGTGTCCGTACAAAGTAATATTCTACTGGAGTTTTGCATAAACTAAGTGACAATGAGAGATTTTTTTATAATAGGCCCCAGCTGAGTCAAGAGGAGAAGAAACAGATGTCTCAAAGGACAGAAGCATTGATGTACCATAGAATACACAGGAAATGATCTCTGTTATACCAAAGGAAAGTTCACTAAAGTGAGCTTTAACCTTAGGTAGTACATGACATCCTGTCTACAATATTTCTGTCGTCAAATGGGCAACATTGTGTAATGCTTTGTGAAGTACTGCAGTGCTATTAGAACAGGATTATTCATTTAGCACGTTTTCAAAAGGGGCTGTGTATGGATGTAATTCCAACATTCAGATTTTCAAGACTTTCTTGTTCTTCAATTTTCTTTCCCTCACAATTCTAGCCAAAAGGGGGATGATGACTATGAAGATTATACATCCAACAAAACATGGGTTTTGACTCCCAAAGTCCACGAGAGTGATGTCACCCTGATTTTAAATGGCTTGCTGGAAGGATATGACAACAAACTGAGACCTGACATAGGAGGTATGTTTTCTAACCTATTTTTAATTGAAACGGGGGCTGGAGGAAGAGAATTCTCACATTGCAATATATGTATTGGAAGCATAATCCACACAAAGAAGGTATGAAAACATAATATAATACAATATAACTTCATTTTTTATAATATCTATCATAAACTCTCTGGCCAAGATGTGTAAGTCAGGCTTGTGTATAAGGGTGTATAAGGATAGGCTGATAAATCCATCTCAAGGCACCTAAGTGGCCTGATTTGCAATAGTTCTGAGCACCCACAAATTCTATTGAAATTGCTGAAGCTGCAGAAACTCAACTACTTTGAAAATCAGGCCACTTCTATTTTGTGCCTAAACATGGAGTTAGGAGTTTAACTTTAAGCATTCAGTTTTGTAAATGTTGGTGAGTATCACTAAATGCTCTAAACAGTTAAATTATACAGTCACAGAGTTACAAATAATACATAGCAGCAGATGGAGAGGGTGGAAAGGAGTATAGAAAAAGGGAGACGATATGGATTAGATCCTCAGCTGAAGTAATGAGCATAGCACCATGTAAGGTTTATATCCATTTTCATCAGCTGATGCTCTCACTCATATGAGTTTTCGGATGAGCTTAGAAAAGCAATGGAGTAGTTAAAGAAGTGAAGTACCATATGAAGCCTATTCCAGATCATAAAAACTACAGAAGTGAAGGGTCTCATAGAATAATAATAATGAGATTGTGGAAAGGAGCACAGAAGTCATGGACTAGAGAAACAAAGGGAAGTAGGGGGCAGCAAGCTCCATGAAATAGGCTAGCTCAAGCAAGTCTGTGAAAAAGTTTAAAACCAAGGATGACAATTTTTACCTACACTCCACAAAGAAAGTTAACCTGAGTGTTTATCTGGGTAACACCCAATGATAATATTTACATACACATTGTAAAAATAGCAGAGGGATTCCCAATGAAACACATATAACCAGAAATGTTGTATGGATTGTTCTCCCAATCCCAGAATTTAGGGAATAAAAGGAGTGGAACATCCATAAAAATAATCTGGGAAGCTTGATTTTGTTTTAGTTAGGAGTGTCTGGAATTAAGATGGTCAAAGTGAGGGAACAATATTTCAAACTAAATTAGTCTAACAATTGTTTTCCATTCCTGTTTTGCAAGCCCCAAATGTTGTTTTGGGCTCATGAAATGATTGTTTATCTGCAGACATCACTTCAGGCTATGCCCGTCACATTGCATTGAGTCCCATCATGTGAAATGAGTGATGAAACACAGTGTAAGGGGACTCTGAAAAAAGTGTTTGTTTTCTCAAGGAGGAGCATTTGATCAAATATGTTTTTGAGAAACAAAGTCCCCTACACAGACAACACGACATGGGCATAGCATCATTCTGATCTCACTCACACCAGTGTATTGCCTTTGAGTCCAATAATTATTCCTCATTTACACCAATAAAAGTGCAATCAGAATCCGGCTCTGAAGTATCTCTGTCTATTGAGGAACTGGAATTATTGCTGTAAAATTTATTTTGTACTATATTTGCTGTTTGGAAATGTGCGTTTCTCTCTCTCTCTCTCTCTCTCTCTTTCACACACACACACACACACACACACACACCCCTACTTCCCACTCCCCAACCACACACAAAATAGACATTTTTTATGTAGTGGATTTTAACCTTCATTTGTATTAGCAATTCTTATTGTTTTACTTGCAGTGAAACCAACAGTAATTCACACTGACATGTATGTAAATAGCATCGGTCCAGTGAATGCTATCAATATGGTAGGTAACTGTTTTTAACACTTTGCTACACTTTTAATGATAGGTATATTCGGTTTGATGCATGCAATAATTCCTTTATAGTTGCAGTGCAATTATGCTTCCATTATTTTTGACACTGCACTGTATGTATTTTATTTTAAAAGTCTTATTATATCAATCTCATGGAGAAGAGTAGGGCATGGTTGTAAGGGGAAGTGGAAGCAGAGGTTTTCTTTATATCAGAAAATGGTGTGAGTGTGTTTAATAACATTATTACACGGTTTCTAGCTCACAATTGTGCAACCATGTTGTGGTCCCTTATTTAATCATGCAAGGGCTTGCAAGATCCAGTCCAGAACATGTTGATAATTTGGGTGAGGAGGGGCCAATACGTTCGTATTCGTGTCATCTCACAGCCAGAAACAGCCTATGTAATACGTACGTCATAACACTTGTGTTAGAGGCATTGTTTGATATAGAAAATCAGACATTGATCATGACACACAATAGAATGAAGCAGAGATGGAGGGATGGATCTGCATTTTACTTAACTTTTAATATTTGGAGGGTGATAGACCTTCCACAAGAGATACCAGACATTTCCTTTGATCCAATGTGGTTTTAAATGACCCGATGTCAAATATCCTATAGTTAGGGGTGGCCCCCTTCAGCCTGATCCCTAGGATTCAGTACACCTCTGAATGCTCTTCCCCTCTCCCCATGAGGTGGAATGAAGGTGTACATGAAAGGTTAGATAGTGAAGACTTAAGGTCTGTACGCTGATAGGGTCCACCAGTTTTCTACTGGGTCTCTTATGTTTACCGTTGGTAGCTGGCCCCTTTGATCTTCACAGTGACTGCAAATTGCAACAAAATTACAAATGTCACTTATTAACATAAAGCTTTTAAATTTCTCTCTTAACTAACTTAGAATTGGACCTCCAGGATGCTGCAAGGAAGGAGAAAAAAACCCTGATCAGACACCTTGCCAATCTTGCCATATGAAACAAATATTTTCCTCATGCCCCAAACTAGTGACTGGCCAGACCCACAGCCTCTTGGAAACACAGTTCAAACGATACCTCTAAGAGCTGCAGAATGGCTGCAGCAAGGGGACAAGCATAAGGGACAATCAAGTCTTCCTTCCTTACCACAGACTGGCCAATGGGAGGACATGGAGAGGCAGAGAATTCTCTCCCTTCCACTGACCCCACACCCTGATCAGGCATGACCTCCATGTGCATTCTAGGTGCCAGGGCAGGGAAAGAGAAAGGGGAGGTCCAGCTCAGCTAAGCCTTCCTCTTCTTTTCATGCCTCCTCACAGGACCCTAGGGATTGTGTATCCCCTACCTAACTGATCAAACACACCTCTCCCAACTAAGACTGGTTGGAGGGTGGGAGGGACATACTGACTTGAAAAAGATACAACCAGCAGCTATCAGTTATAACTGGGTGAATAATGAGGGGGGGGGGAAGCATCAAACCTTATTTTTGAAAATAAAAATCACAACATTTATCAAATAAGTTTTTCAACCAGCTTTAGCATCAATCCCTCTTGTAGTGACTGCAAATACTTTTTCAGGTTTTTCAGAGATATGCTTTTAAAAGTGCACCTCTGATACTACCGTGCACAATGTTTTCACTACTATTTCTGGTTAATGAACAGGAATACACAATCGATATATTTTTCGCCCAAACCTGGTATGACAGACGTCTGAAATTCAACAGCACGATAAAAGTGCTCCGATTGAACAGTAACATGGTTGGGAAGATCTGGATACCAGATACATTTTTCCGAAACTCCAAGAAGGCTGATGCTCATTGGATAACAACGCCCAATAGGATGCTCAGGATCTGGAATGATGGCAGAGTGCTATATACACTAAGGTATTTACACTTGAATTTAAATTTGGTTCCTCAAGGAAAAGCCAAAGAAGTACATTTATGCAATTGCAATGTGAATAGGAAATACCTTATAAATTAATTTCTAATCATAGGAGAGGTTTAAACATAACTGGAATGCATAACTTAGAACATAACTTGTCTGATTGTAGTTTTAAAATGTCCTGGGAAATGCGAAATGCTTAGATCATTTGTACTTTGTCTATTTAGAGGGATGGATATTGCCATAGTTTAAGGGTCTCATTTTCATCCAGATTTTACTATCCTATTCCTCAAGGAATCTCACTAAAGTAAATAGAACTACATGAAGCGTAAGGAACTATTCAATATAAGGGTATCACAATCTTGTCCCTGATTTGTGTTTACAATTTATCACTTATCAGTTGTTTTGCCACTCCTATCATTTTCTCTTCTAGCTATTAAATTAGAGGATTTTAAAATCATTGATTGAATTAATCAGTATTTATGACCAATTTGCATCAAAGTTTCCTGTTCTCATTCAAGTCCATTTCATGCTCCTTTTGACTTCAGTGGAGCTGGATAAAGCTCCCAGGTGAAAAATGTTTAATTCCTGGAAATCCTTGTGGAAATAAAGATAAAATGGGTGAGGTAATATCAGTCATTTTAGAGTCTGATCCAAAGCCTATTGAGTTTATATTCATCAAAGTTTTATTAGGACAGTGTACGTATCTATCAGTTCACGTATCTCCCTTTTGGTTTCTTAGAGGTTAATAAAAAATGTCTTCATTCTTTATTGGTTAAGAATTTTTTTTTGATGTTGGAAGAAATGTCTGAATTACAAGAGTTTTATTTTGTAGTTATTTTACATTCATTATGCATCACATTTTGAAGAAGAGATAGGAAAATGATTGGAATTTAAATCCAGTGTGAATCAAAGTCAGTCTGATAAATCACATCCTACATCTGCTTTTGACATGTTAAATAGGTCTTAATATCTCAAACCATGCTCTCTTCTCTCTTCAGACCTCACTACTTTTCTCCTCAAAACACTGTTTCTCTCTTTAGTGATCTGACATTAACATGTAATCAGTAGTTCTATTAAATACCATGATCAGCGCCAGTAACATTCAAATTCTGATAATAAATCTTGGCTTGAGTCAAGATCCCATATTACAAGAATACTGGAAGTGATGAAATATGGTATATTGAGCAAAGACTTGTGTGTTGAAGCTTGCACAGTGCATGCCGGAATTATGCCTGGCTGTAGCCACTGCTGTGGTCACTCACTTTCATGAGCACTAAATTCCCTAACAAATCTTAAGTGATTTTCTAATGAAAATAGTGAGAATCTTGGCATTTGTATGACTATGTTCTAGCCAACCTTGCCCCTCGAGGCAGAATTACTAACACAGAGTTAAGCTTTTTTGCAAGCCTGAAAGATCCAACTGGACTCACGCTAGTGAGTGATATTAAAACATCCCCACAACAGAAAACAAACCCAAACTGTCACTGAACTTATGGGGCATGTGGTAAATTCAAACAGTTTTAAACAAGGACACCAGTGAAAAAATCGTATTTAGAGATCAGAATATAGTTCTCTGATGAGCAGATTGCTTTGCCTTCTTGGTGTATATCAGGTGATCTTGAAGTCGGATCGATGAGGGATGAAATGAGAAAGGAAGAAAAAGGCAGTAATCTGAGCAAAGAATTACTAGGTGCCCAACCCTGCTCCCATTTCAATCCCATCATCATGTCTTAATTATACCCATTGTACACAGTACTTATGTGTGTATAATATTTTGTGTTTTGTATATTTTGTAGGCTGGGGACATGTTGATAAGAATCTTGGTTTGTGTGCCACACTAGTTTTCATTAGAAATTACTATGGCATGCGCTGTATATTCTGATACTAAATCTTTGTCATCTCTTCTCTTTAGGTTGACAATAGATGCTGAGTGTCAGTTGCAGTTGCACAACTTCCCAATGGATGAACATTCCTGTCCGCTGGAGTTTTCCAGCTGTAAGTAGTGTGCTAAATTACCTATTCCACCTTCATTTGCACTGGCATACTTAGGGCCAGATTCTTAGCTAGGGTAAATCAGCACAATCTGTTGTCTTCAATTGAATTTGGATCAGGGAGGATCTGGAACTTATTCTGTAAATGTGTACCCATTGTATATGTTCACAGATATAGTATAATAAATAATGATATTTGAGAATGGTATGTGCTTTGAAACACATAGCGTAGATGAGAATACACAGATATTCATAATGCTTAATTATGCTTCCCATGAGAGTTAGCTTTTATTAATAAATGTTGTGATCTGGATCTTTGTCACACTTGTTGCATATGTGTGTCACTCCATTGACTACTGTTGGCATGTGGGTTGACATCTCTGAAATCAAGCTATAGGGTGAAATGGGAAATTTGACAATGACTTCAGAAGGGCCAGATTGTGCCCTAGATGTCTCAAGTTGGTGGGGGGGGGGGGGGAAAGAGAGAAAAGAGGAGGCATCCAAAAATGCGCTTTTGGAAAATAAATAAAATATTAAATGAATTGAAAGGTAACTAACATCCCCCCCTCCCCCCCCCCGACTATGTTGCTCCATATTTTTCTGGCTAAATAGAAAATGAAGATGTTTCCCACAACGTAAATTTTTAAATTTAAATTAAAAAATTAAAAGAGTATGAAGCTGTATTTGGAATTGTCTTGAAGATGGCTACCCCAGGGAAGAAATTATTTACCAGTGGAAACGCAGTTCGGTGGAAGTGGGAGACACCAGATCTTGGAGGCTCTACCAGTTTACTTTTATTGGACTGAGAAATTCTACTGAGGTGGTGAAGACAACTTCAGGTAAGATCAACTATTTTTTTCTAATCTGTTTTCATTCAAATTCTTTGTTTTATGTTAAAAAAAGATATATGATTGTATGGAGCTCAGCACTGGCAATTAGTAGAACAAATTGATTTTAACTCCTTATGAGTCACCAGATCTTCATGTATCCTGCAAAATGAAATGCTGTCTCTTGCACAAGCTTGCCCTGCACACTCAGCAGCACAGGAAGGAGAGAGCAGCCTCTTGGAGGCCACAGTCCCCCCTCCAATGCAGGTGGATGGGGAGTGGGTAGCAGAGAATAAGTGCAGCCTTACTGGATCCCTAAGGACACTGGGCTGTGTAGCTGAGCTGTTGTGCAGAGGATAATAAGCTAGTATTGGGCTATACTAGATTATACCTGTCCCTCCTCCCCCCAGAGCAGGGGAGTAGCCAGGGAGAGAATTGTGACCCAAAGTTACAAGTCCCTGCTGCAGCAACATAGCTGCACACTGCCACTTACTCGGGGCTAGCTCTGAATTATTAAAAGCTACTATGAACTAGATATGGTGTGTCTCAGGTAGTTCTGCTCCATATTTCTATCTGTGTCACCCTCCTTTAGTATGTGTAATAGACTTTAAAATGATAAAGTAAGAAGGTCACCATTTTTAATATTACTCCATTAACTAGGCAGGGAAGTGCATGCCACTTAATAAATCAGGTCAGAAACACACACACTCTAGCATTGGTGGTGGAAAGGATTAGCCATTTGGAGACTGGTGGAAGTTATTAAGGGTCCAAAAGGGTATTGCATACTAATATTCTTTCATGTACATTTCTTTTGTCGTTGATTCTTACTTTCAAAAGGAATGCTGAAATGAAAGAGGTTTCTTTTGATTATACCAAATTTTATTCCACAAGTTCAAAGAGATCTGTGGGTTTGTGACAATAATTAATGATAATAATTATTAATAAAAGGGTCGCATTGCCAGCATAATCAAAAGGAGGTATGCTAGTGCTGAAAGCTGCCTGTTTGTACATTATACACAGTGAAAACAATGTGGTTCAGGATATGTCGGGTTCCTAGTTCCTGAGAAAGTGGATATTAACCACTGATGACATATTTAGTCTTCTGGGTAGGAAGAAAAGGACTGAAGTTCTTAGCCTGTGGTCACATTTGTCTTAAAGCACTTTCTGCCATCCTTGCTGTAGAAAATATTTTGTCATCTCATTAAGGAAATGTTTGACCTTTCACCATTTCTGGCAGATGAAAGGTGCAAAGGAGGGCAAGGGGAGAGTGGTGGAACACAGCTACTAATAACTTGCATTGTGTAAGGCATGGTTGAGTCACTCACCCCCAAAGGAAAAATATATAATCAGCATAGCATCTCTCCTCAGTCATGCCCCTAAAACAGGCACATCCACAAAAGGCAGCAGTGAATAAGTGGATGGTTCTAGGGTCTGGTCTTGCTCTATTAAAGTCTGCAGCAAATATCACATTGACTTCACTCAAACTTGACTTGCGTTTCTTTTATTTGCTGTTTCCCTTTCCTTGTTTTTTTTTCATTCTCTAATGGAGAATATTTGGCTGGAAGGAGAAAGTAATACAATTTGAACATGCTACAAGCTTCAGTTCCATTGTTCCACTGCTTCCTGCATTTGTGAATCAAGAGCATTTGATGATGTTCCTTGTAATGTTAAGAGAGTGTTCATTGAAAGAAATGATGCAGTCTCACAAAACGAAAAGCTCTTCCTTTGGGACCATTAATCTGGTCTGAGAAACCACGATAGTGCTCTGAGAGAACCAATATAATTTAAAGCTCATATTTGTTATTAGTATGCTGGTGCACATTGCCCTTTTTCATTTACTTAAACAAATAAAGTAATCTATATTAATTGTGCATTTAAAGTCAGTAAAAACCTACTTTAGCCAACACTAGATCAGTGACAAGAAATGCTTTCCAAAGCAACTTAGTCCTGCCGAGCTTCTCTTAAAGGCCTGCTGGGGATGCACAGACAACTTGGAAAAACATTGTGTTCATAGGCATCTCCTCCCTGTAGTGTTTATCATATGTTCTCTCTATTTTCTTTTCTCGGTTTTTTATTGCTAGAGCTATTTGCATGAAAACTGAGTCTAGCCTTGATTCAACCCAGTGCAGGTGTGCAGGGTCGCACGTATAAACAAAATTAGCCTGGGGACTCCTGCTCCTACATCAGTATGATGGCTACTGCATGCCAGAGAGGCCAAAGATAATAGCATGTAGCTAAGTGCCTTATGATCAGGCTGAGAATTGCAGTTACGACAAGGTTCATAAGATTCATTTCTACTCAGTGTCCTTACTCTTAAATGCATTCCATTTGTAGCCACGGTTCACACTTACGCGTCCGTCTGCAATGCAACCAAGCTATACTTCCTGCTGTTCTACCCAGGGTCCAAAATTCAATGCCTTTGTTCCCTATGTGTTTATTTCATGCTGCTTATTCCTCAACTGAGTTTAAAAGTCAGCCTCTCGAGCGTTCATGGATACATTTGCATATAGCTAACTTATATGAAGAAATCCCCAATGTGTGTGCACAAGTAAGGCATTTGGACACATGCTTGACCTGTCTGGTCCCTAAAACGCTATCCACCTGGACTAGTGGCAGTCCTAGTGGTGGATCCATAGTGTAGATCAGTGGCACAATCATTGGGAATTTTTTGAAAAAAACTCCCTAAAATTGACAAGGCCTTACCATAGCTGCCAAATTTTGTGTAGCTCCATGTGTGACATTTCTCTGTAATGATAAACAGTCACTGATTACTACTTCATGGGCCCCTAGAGCAATGGCAACTGGGGGCAACTTGGTGTGTTGGAGGAGCCAATAGGGATCAGGTTATGGCCTGGAGGGAAAGATACTGGGTGCGAGGGGCGGGAGGAAAATCTGTTAATTGGATGTGGAGGGGAGAGAACCTAGAGAGTTTCTGGGTGGCAGGAAGAACTGGCACTGCATGAGAGTTGGATGTGGAAGACACCGAGGGAGTTGTTCTAGGGCAGTGGGAGTCTGGAACAGCCTCTCCAAATCTGCTTTTCTTTCATTTTAGCACATTTCCTACTCTGTCCAACCCTGCCTCTTAGCCAGAACCACCTGCTTCCCAGCACTCCATGCTGGCCTGGCTCCATCAGTAGGAGCAGACTAAGCAGAAGCAGAAAGGTTCCCTAAAACTTGGTGCCATAGCAGCCCCCTGTGACCCAGAGAAGATACCTCACTTCCTGCCAAGCCCAGCTGAATGTGCAAGCTCTTAGCTGGGCTGTGAGGAAGCACAACACTGCAGATGAATTCATTACGTAGATGAATGCAGATGATGCTCTAGGGTTCACCCAGGCCAGTAAGGGGTTCAGTCAACACCTGCCCTGCAGCTCCGGTTGCCTTAACTGCTGTGCTGTTGTGGCTCACAGCTCTGACACCAACAGCCAGCATACAAGCATGCGGGTTCATACACTGGCTTCCACTGACCAGTTACTCTTTGCAGGGGAACCTCAAAGTTCTTCCAGCCCTGTTTTCTCTCCCAGAAACCTCTTTCTCTGCCATGCCAGACCCTCTTCCTGTAGCACCTAGAAAACCTTAGCAAGTTTGCTGCTCCTTTGAAGAGACTGCAGCTTATTAACTGGGGTTGACAAACGCTTCACTTCAGTCAACCACCGTGTTGGTTTATGGCATAAGTAAAACAAGTTTATTAACAAAAGGTCATAGGTTTCAATGATACCAAGTATAAGCAATAAGGATAGAAATGGTTACAAACAAATACAAAGTAAAAATGTGTTTCTAAGACTAAAACTCAACTTAACAAACAAGGGTCTTTTGTTCAAAGTTGTTTTTCTCACCATGGACTTTCTTTCAGCATAGCTGGTTAAACCTTTAGCCAGGACACAACACACAGAGCTCAGAGCACTTGGTTTCCTTGACTCCTTAGGTGAAGGATAACTATGGGGTTCTCTCCCCTTCTTTTTCTAGTTCAGCAAACCTTTGAAATGTATTGTTTGAAAAGTAAGCCCAGACAAAGTTTCTCTCTGCTGCTGGGGTATAGACACCATGCTGTCTTCTCCACTGTTTGTTATCTTGATAGCTTTGTTACCTTATGGGTAAGCGTACTTCCAATATCTCTGCCTGAAGACTAGGCTGATCAGATAAGCAAATTCACATTATTTTATCTGTGACAGACTGGGCTTATGTATTGTTGCCCAACACATTTTAAGAACGTAATTATAACTCTTTGTACCCATGCCATACATATACCCCATGATTTTCAGGACTAGTGAGTTATGAATGTTGATATGATGTCTTACATGACACCTTTTAGATGCAGATTATGACAACAATGTTTAGATGTGGTGAGTGCGTCAGGCCTCACAGGAGCTGCTCACTCAGATAGTGAACAACCAGTGGGGCCTGGGTATCACAATAAGTGTCAAATAACATGTGTAAGACCTGACAGCCCTGCCTAAATGACTGCATGCACATGCAACTACCTAATGTGCATGCACACAACCAACATGTTAGACACACACACGACTATCAGCACACAATTGGAAGAGCCCAAATTTGGAAATCTGGCCCTAGAATATGGCCCTCTGCAAAAGAAAAAAAATGACTAGAATATCACGAGCCACTCTATCATCTCCTTTTAAATGCAGTGAGTCATTCTGAGTTGTGAACCTGTTCCCATAAATAGTGAACTTTTCAAACCATCTCTAATTTACCTGGAAAGTCACATGGAACCAAAAAATCAAGTGATGACCGAGCAAATGGGCTCTAGCCTCAGATGACATCCAGAATTTGTTTCATGTAAATAAGAAATATTAACTCTAAGGGTGCTAAGCTGCAGTTGTAGTTGTCTATGAATACTCCACTGAAATGACTGGATCGTTAGACACTCAGTAGCACAGTAACAGTCAGTGCATTCTGTGTGGATATACCTGAAACATTTGGAAGCTTTCAGGCAGTTAATTCATTTGCCAAATGATTTCACTGTGCAGCAGGAGACAGCTCTTCAGCATCAGATT